GGGGGGGGGGGGGGTGACTGCTGGCACGCCACACAGAAGGCTACGGAACTTGAATATGTGGAAATTAAATAACTGTTTTACTTAAAATTCCTTCATAAGCTGAAAATTTTGTTCACTGTAGAGAGTTCATATCTGGCCCCATTCTTCCTCTAGAGAGGCTCCTGGTGCGCGCCGCTTCCAGGACCCTCCTACCTGGACAGCTACAGTCTTTGCCAGGAGGACACAGATGCTGGCACAGAATGTCTCATGCTGCCTGCGGTGAGTGTAATTCCAGACGCTCCTGGCATTGGTTTCCTCTGGATATTCTTCTCCCTAAGGCCCCCTTCTCAGCGGTGACCTGGGTTCTTGGCGAGAAGCTGCTTACATGCTGCCAAAGCTGGGGGTGAAAACAGAAGCACCATCAGTCACACAAATTGGGAGGACAAACGTCAACATGCTTTGGGGGTGGGGGACTGTTTTAGGGTAAGCCTAGAGTCATTGTCAGCTTCTCAAGTCATCAAGGTCAAAGGGACTGCACAGAGTAATAGGTGGCAGACACAAATGTGGGAGGAAAACACACACCAATGTTTCATAGTTTTCAACTCCAATGATATAATCTATGGCTGCTCAACTTTCTGAATACAAAATCTAGGGAGTAAGACACATTTGAAAAGATAAAGAAAGTATAGTGTGAAAAGTAAATCCCCCTCCTACCTGTACCCCAGTACCCAGAGAGCATGTCCAGATGCAGCCACATTACGAGCTTTGTATTCTTCCCGCTGTTCTATGCTTATACAAGTAAATCATAACTGATCTTTTCTATCCCCCATCTGGCAACAATAATGATGGCATACAACGAACACTATTCTTCACCTTGCTGTTTGTTTTGTTTTGTTTTTAGGTTAACATCATGGAAGAGTGTTCAATCAGCACATACATAGCTCCCTCACTTTTTACAGGTACATAGTTTTTGACTAAGAATTAGTTAATTGATTTAGTTAACTAGTTTTCTGCAGTTGGACACCAATGTTTCCACTTTTGTGGTGTTATAAATAATGTAATGAATAACCACATACGTGCATACATGACTCAGCACACAAAATCTAAAGCAAATATACTTTCAGGATAAATTCCTAGAAAGGGAACTGCAGGGGAAAAGGAAATATATAGTTTTAATTTTACAAGATACTGTCACATTTTCTAGATAGAGATTAAACTCCTCCAGCCTATCTCCCCACACTGGCCATTCCCTTTTTTAAAAAAACCTATTTTTTAGAGCAGTTTTTGGTTTACAACAAAATTAAGAGGGAGATACAGAGATTTCTCTTATGGCCCCGCCCCCACATATGTAACAAGGCCTCCTCCATTATCAACATCCCCCACCAGACAGCTACATTTGTTACAATTGATGAACCTACATTAACACATCATAATCACTCAAAATCCATCGTTTACATTACGATTCACTCTTGCTGTACATCCTATGGGTTTGGACAAACGTATGACAACATTTGTATCCATCATTACAGTATCACACAGAATATTTTCACTGCTCTAAAAATCCTGTGCTCTAATCCTTCCCTGCCCCTAACCCCCAGCAATCAACACTCTTTTTACTGTCTCCATAGTTTTGCCTTTTCCAGAATATAATTGGAATCATACTGTATGTAGCCTTTTTAGATTGGTTCCTTTCCCTTAATATAAACACTCCTTTTTAAAATTCCACTATTTCAAGTATCTCACAAAAATATTCCAGTTTTATACTACTCACGCTAACTACAATTTACCAATGTAAGTCTTGAACTTGGGAGCATCTTATCAAGCCCCTCTACAAACATTCTGGCTTCACACCAATCACCTTCAGGCTCTATTCCAATTCGTTAAGAAGTTCAAGAATGAACAAACAGGCTACTGACTTTACCTTAAATTTTGTCCATTGCTTTATAGAACTCAGCTCTTTCATATGTGATGTTACAATCTGTCAACACATATTATTTCAATTTTTACCAATTAGGACACCAAGCAAGGTAGACACAGATCCAATTCTTCTAACTCCTAACCCATTACTGCTCCCATTATAGTCCCACACATCTAGTGGTTAAAAGACATGACAGTTCAGTGGCACCAAGTCACAAATACTAGTTCCTGTATCTGGTCCTCGACATCTTCCACTTCCACATTACAGTTATTATTGCTAACACTTATCGAGTACTAACAGGACAGACACTGAGCTAATATAATACACATATTATATATACGCTCCTCACTTCATTCTCACAACAACCCTATGGTGGAGTTATTATCGTCATTACTATTTACAGGTGAGGAGACTGAGGCTTCGAGGATGAAGTAAGTTACCCTGATCACACATCTAGTGAGTGGTAGAGTAGAAATCTGGATACGTATATCTGTCTCAGAGCCCATGCTCTTTACCCATTATGCTCTCCTACCTGCCAGGCTACCTTGAAATAAGTGAGTACTTCCTTCATGCCAGGCCTACTCTACAGAACTTCTTGTGATCAGAGAAAAACCACAAGGCAAATCTGGACTCAAGAATCAGAATTTGGTGCTCTTCTCAGAATCCAAGGTACAAACCTGCTCTTTCATTTTTATAAACTAGCCAAACTGATTATACATGCCAGATTTGTAACTACATCCCAACAGAGGTCCAGGAAATTAGATGTATTTCTAAGACTAAATCAACTTAATTTGCTGTCTGAAACACTGTATTCCTTAAACCTGTCTAATTCCAGCCTAATTCAAGGGTCGCACTTCTATTCCACTCTTCCATCCTGGTCACCCTTGCCCACTACTCCCATGGGAAAGAGGCAGCAAGAACTCTGTCCCACTGGACAGCTGCTGTCACTGTGGCCAAGGTTACCTTGAGTTCCACAGACCCAGGGTGACTGAAAGTAGGGTCACTTTGACTTCCCATGCCAGAGTTTCTTTGGATCACAATCAACTAAGAATTTCAAAGGTTATACAGGGTTCATGTCCCCAAAACATTAAATGCTTTTAAGCAATCAACTAATTTCTTCACCTAGTCCAGGGGTTGGCAAATCATCATGACGCTATGGACCAAATCTGGCTATGGACTGTTTTTATAAGGCTCATGACCTAGGAATGGTTTTTACATCTTTAAAGGTTGTAAAAACAAAAAATAATATGTGACAGAGACCAGGGTTGGAAAAGCCTAAACTATCTACCATCTGATCCTTTACAAAAGAAAGTTTACTGACCCGTGATGCAGCTGCTCTTCCTCTTGAGAGGTAGTGAACTTCCCCTTACTGTCCGCCCCACCTGAGTTCTTGTTTACCAGTAGCAGACTCCAGGGCAGAGAACAGTAAAACTAGCCAAACAAGTTATCTGGCCAACACTAAACAATTCTCATATAAATTCTTAGAAGTAGAGAAAAAGCAAGAAAGCTACGGTTATCAAACAGGGTTCTAAACATCTTGCTGGATAAGCAAAGCAGTCATGAAAGCCAGAGGTAACTGTGCCATACTGGAAATATCAGAGAACTGCTCACATCAGAACTCAATCACACTACAATTTCCAGGTAACTGCTCACTTAGAAGAGGATATCACTTTCTCTCAGGTAAATAGAACATGACTCCTTAAGCATGAGGCAGGGAAGCCATGAACTCTAAGAAGCATCTACTCATTCTCTAAAATGCCAGCTTTCAGCCAAACTCACTGAGTCATCTGGACCAAAGTTGCCCCAACAACCCAAATGATCCAGAGAAAAACATAAAGACCAACTAGTTCTGGCTTTTTTAGGAGGGAAGATGACTTTGTTCTAGGAATGTGACAGAGCCCACTGCTAAGCTGACTAAACTCTTCACCCCTCTGAATGGCAAATCTGGGCTTTTAGGCTCCCCAATAACCCAATTTCCAGTGTACCTCAGTTCTCATGCATTCGACAAATCTTCATTGTTAGGTGTTAGATACTCATTAGAGACAAGTATTAACCAAATAAGCATACACGAAGCCATCATTTCACACAATGATGATTTACAAGGAAGAGTGTCCTGGAAGAGAAAAATAACAGAGGGAACTTACAAACTTAAACTGGGGCATCTAAACCAATTCTGACCAAATCACAAGGCCAGAACTGTCATGATTCCTAACTGCAGAATCAAATGCTTCTTTTCAGCTAGCTCTCTGTGGCACATCCTACTTCAGGAGATCGTGACCACCAGACTGTGTCCAGAGAGATGCTACACACCAACTCAAAAGGAAAAAGATACGCATTTTATTACAAATAAATGCTTAGGTTACACAGCAATAATGCATTTTTAAAGCACACCAAGCACAATGTCTATCTCAATAAATGGTATGCATTATCATTTCATCATGATCAGAAGAAACCGAGAGTATTTTCAGTTCTTGGTACCAAACTTTAAGAGGGCTAGACAGAGGAAGGCATTTCAAAGTATGTCACAAAACCCACAAGCCAAAAAATACTACATGCCTAGCAAGCACTAGTGCTCAATAATAACACTAGCTGAATTATGAATTAAAATACAGTAAGACAGCAGAAAAATTTTTCTATAAACCAAAGTATTAGTAAAAATGAGAAAATACCCTCAATTACTGCTGGTTAGTGTAAAATGGTACAGTCTCTATGGAGAACAATTTAGTGATCACCGTCACAATTTTAAATGTATATAACCTTAGTTTCAGCAATTCTACTTCTAAAAATTTATCCTAAAGACAAATTAGAACAGTGGTTCTCAACCACGGGCAATTTTTTACTCCCTCGTGGAACGTTTGGTAATGTCTGCAGACATTTTTGGTTGTCACAGCTTGGGACGGGGTGCTACTGGCATGCAGTGCACAGAGGGCAGGAATGTGCTAAACACCCTATAACGCACAGGCCAGCTCCTACACAAAGAATTACCCAGCCCAAATGTCAACAGTGCTGAGGATGAGAAACCCTGTACTGAAGCATGTGCAAGATGCTATATGTGCAAGGTTACTGAATGAAGCACTGTTTGTAATATCAAAAGAAACATCAATGTTCACTAATAGAGGATACAACTGAATACTATTCATGGATTAAAAAAGAGACACACATATACATAAGCACTAAGAAACAATCTCCCAGTTAGATACAGAGCAATGTCCACAATAAATATCGACTGTGAGGGAGGGAGGAAAAGGAAAAATATATACAATTCATGTGTACTCACAGAGATACACATCTGGAAAGATACACAAATGACTGGCCATAGCAGCTGCCTCTAGGGGTGGCTGTTTATCTTGTTGGTATCTTTAAAATTATATTTCTCATTTTGAATAGGTAATAGTCTCATGGTTCAAAAATCAAAAGAAACACACCAGTGTCTGAATCCTGACTTTACCACTTAACCAGCAGTGTGAATGACTTCAGGTAAATTACCTAATCTCTTTAAGCTTCTATTCAACAATACCTATTAGAAGTAATGTTCAAAATTACAAGATAACAAAAATAAAACACTTTCATAATGCCTAGAGCAAGGCAAATGCTCAAAATATATTAACTATTATTATTACTATTCTAAGCTCCTGTTACCAGGAAGGAGGATGTGACATTTGAAGGTATTTCCCAAGAAGTCATGACATTACACTAATGAGAGATCCGGTTTCAACTATTACCTGCCTAAGGTGCTTGAAATCCCCTAAAACGGCTGGATCATGCTGATTCCATTCAGAAACTGCAGGGGGCCTGCCTGACAGGAGGCAAAACAGCCAGAGCCAGTACTGCCAAATCACACTGAGAGGAAACAAGACCTGTAGAAATCAGGAAAAATGTTTCATGCTTAAAGATGGCACCCTTTGTGAGTGCTCCAGCAAAGACAAAGACTGTCACAGTAATTCTGAGTCAATAAAATAGATATCCATGCCCAGCTGGCTGGGATGTGAGCAGTGTGAGCCCTCAGAAGACCCAGCCAGAACCGTTCCCATGGCCACTACTGGTTACACTGATTCTCTACCCAGGATGTACATTTGGCTCACCTAGGCCACAACCCAGATGAAATAAATCAGAATCTCTGGGACCCAATTTGCTTTTAAGAGACTTGGGTGATTATAATGTGTAGCCAAGAGTTGCAAACTACTGGGTTAAGGGTTTTTACCAGTTAACTCAACAAAAAACAACTAGAAACTGAGAAGACAACCCACTATCTATCTTTGATTACAATTACCTATAAGTAAAGTGTATCTAGTTCTCTAACTTAAAAAGAAAACACAGACAAAGTACACATGTAAGAGAGTTGGTGAGATCTAACTACATCGTTGACCCTGAAATCTGGTAGAAGCCATTCAGCATTAGAGAGCACTGTCATCCAGAAACGGCAGATTTGCTCTGGCCACCGAGACAAGAGAATTGCTATTTCAGTTGGCAGTTACAGGGGTACACACCCTCACACTACTGGTGGCAATGTACGATGGTACAACCACCTTGGAAAACAGTCTGGTAGTCCCTCAAATGGTTAAACATAGTTACCATATGACCCAGCAGTTCCCTTCCTAGGTATACAGTCAAGAGAACTAAAAAAAAACTCTCCACACACAAAAATTGTTCCAATGTTTATAGCAGTATTATTCAGAATAGCCAAAAGGTAGAAATAACCTAAATGTCCATCAACTGAAGCAATAAACAAAATGTGTTTATCCACACAAGGTGTGGATGAAAAAAGGGGTTCTATAGAAAGTTACCTCACAAGGTGATCTGATCATAAATTCCTCACTGGGCATGTCATGGTGAGTAGTCATGCCCCAGGCATATAACTTTAGTAAAATGCTTCTTATCTTTGCCTTAAGCAAACCCTATTATTTCTGTGCATCTAGGCTGACACACCTTTGAAACACGCCCCCTTTCAGATCCCTCTTTTTAAAGTGTGACCACCTGCAACAGAACACATAAACTATCCCATATTCTGATCTCTGCCTTGCTTTCTTCCACCTCGTGTAATCTATTTACGTACCCTCCTTAATCTCAAATGCATAAAAGAAACTGCAAACTCCTATTTTCCGAAGCATTTTTCTCAGTCTATTGAGATCTTGCTTCCAAAAGTATCCTCTGTTTGACTGAAATTAAGTTTTTATAAAAATTTAGGGGAGTAGTGCAGTATAAGAAATTTGCTTGAATAGGTTTGTATGTTCTTACATTGACAAATGGAATATTATTCAGCCATAAAAAGGAATGAAGTATTGATAGTTGCTACAATATGGATGAACCTTGAAAACATCATGCTGAGTGAAAGAAGCCAGTCACATTCATATTATGTGATTCCATAATATGAATTTAAATCTTTAGAAAGTAAGTAGATTAGTGGTTACTTAGGGTGGGGAGAACACAAAGACAGAGGAGTAATAACTAAAAAAGATGAGGTTTCTTTTTGAGTTAATAAAAATGTTCTAAAATTGACTGTGGTGATAGTTACATATTATCTGTGAATATACTAAAAACCTGAATTGTACCTTTTTGGCAGTGACAACCTCCCCACTGCAACATGCCTCTCACTAAGGATCTCCTTCATCCCTCTCCAGAAGAGGAGAGGGAACACAGGCAGCACCTGGTGCAGAGCCCCAATTCCTACTTCATGGATGTGAAATGCCCATGATGCTATAAAATCACCACCGTCTTTAGCCCTGCAAAAATGGTAGTTTTGTGTGCTGGTTGCTCCACTGTCCTATCAGCTAACAGGAGGAAAAGCAAGGCTTGCAGAGTATGCTCCTTCAGAAGTAAGCAGCACGAAAAGCAACTCAAATCAAGATGAGTGGGGAAGCATCCCAATAAACACATTTTGGATTAAAAAACAAAAAAATCAAACACCTGAATTAAACACTTTGAATGGGTGAATTATATTGTATGTGAATTGTATCTCAATAAAGCTGTTAAAAAAAAAAAAGAATCTCAAATGAGTTGTTGGAGAAGAACAGTGTTTAGCCCTGGCAAGTGTGGCTCATTTGGTTGGGTGTCGTCCTGTTCGACACAAAGAGGTCGCTGTTCAATTCCAGATTAGGGCACATGCCTGGGGTGCAGGCCTGGTCCCCGGTAGGGGGCATGCAGCAGGCAGTAGATAGATGTTACACTCTCACATCAAAGTTTCTCTCTCCCTCCCTCCCACTCCCTCTAAAAATCAATTAAAATACCTTTTTTAAAAAAGGAGAATAGGCTGTTTAGGAAGATATTGACCCATAACTAGATTCTACGGGGTGGTAGACACATTATGGTGGTTAGACCAGATGTTTTAAAACTCCTTTCCAATGCAAGATTTTTGGCTATGTGTCTTTACGCAAAGTACAATGTCAGAGAAGCAGTAAAGCATGACGGTTCAACATAGGAAATCAGACATGCTGCATTCTAAACTGGTCTCCATTACTTTCTAGTTACATGACCTCAGGAAAATAAACCAACTTTCCATGCTTCAGTTTTTTCATCTATAAAATGAGAGTAATATGTATCTTGTGGTACTGCTGTGAAGACTGAATAGAATGCATTATCAAGTGATCAGTATAGTGCCTGACACAAAGTACTCAATAAACGGAAGTTACTACTAAGTAATTGTTACTACAAAGCTGGAAGCAATAATAATAAAATGATAAACTGCAACTTTATTAGTCAACCATTGAGAATTCTAGTCCAACCTCTTTTTTTTATGGCTCAAATAACTGAACCTTGGAAGGGTTAAATAACTGGAACAATTTTAAAAATTGGCCAGTAACAGAGGCAGAACTAGAACTCAGATCTGCTCCCCAGGCTGACTTCTCATTTGCTTTGCAGTGTCACCCATTTTTCCTAGTGTACTTTCAAGACACAGACCCATCGAATGTGCCAATTCTGATGTGATGATAAACAAATGTGTGCACAAGCATAACAGAAATATGTGCAGAGGTCAATTTAACATCAAGTGTATCAGAGCAGCAGAGTACTGTATAAATTTGCTTGAAGCCCTGGCCAGTTTGCTCAGTGGTTAGAGGGTCGGCCAGAGGACTGAAGAGTCTGGGGTTCAATTCCGGTCAAGGGCACATACCTGGCTGGGTTGCAGGCTCAATCCCCGCCCGGGTCAGGGAGGGTGCGGGAGGCAACCAATTGATGTGTCTTTCTCATGTCAATGTTTCTCTCCCTCTCTCTCTCTCTCCCCCCCTTCCACTCTCTCTGAAAAGCAATGGAAAAAATACCCTCGGGTGAGGATTAAAAAAATAAAAATAAATAAACAAACAAAATTTGCTTGAATAGGATGCTATAGCTTAGGAGGAATGTGTATAAATGTTTCCAAAGAAACAGGGCAGCACTTGGAGCTACTAGGTTAGAGAGGAGCTGAAGTGCTGAAAAACCAAGCATATACATAGAGCCAGCATCAATACTGGATAAAATAAATGGTCCAAGGCAAAGCCAGGATAAGATAGGCTGAAGGATAACTCAATTCACCACGAAGAACACAAGAATAAAGTCAGTTTCAGGGTCTTGGTCTTAACTAAGGTCACTCTGACCTTAGTATTTTCCCCTTGCCTAGAGTTTGGACTGGGTAATAAGTAATATGGTTCAACTTCGCCCGAAAGCAACCTATCTTCAAAGCTGGGGAAAGGACGAAGGATGCAGACTATTTTGATAGTCTGGCCATCGCTTTAAGAAAAACAAATTGATTTGCTGGAGCTGTAAGACCCAAGGCATTTCATTATCAGACCTGAACACTGCTCTGACAGCTCAATTTCAAAACTGGTGCTTTTACACTTGAGTATTGTATATGTCACTGGAAACAACTTCCTGGCCTTTTTTTCTTTTCTTTAAAAATCTTTTTTTCTGGTTTATTTCACTCAGCATAATTATTCTGAGAATCTTTCAAGTTGCTGCACGTGTTAATAGTTCATTCCTTTTAACTGCTGAGCTGTACCTATTCTATTGCATGGCTATACCACCATGCTTATCCATGCACCTACTGACTGCTACAAATAAAGCTGCTATCTACAAGGATCTGTATGCACATATGCTTTCACTTCTCTTGGGTAAATACCAAGGAGTGGAATGATTGAGGCTAAGGTAGGTGTATGTTTAGCTTTTTATAAAACTGCCAAACTGCTTTCTAAACTGGTTGTACCATTTTGCATTCTCACCAGCAGTGTATTAAAGTTCTGCATCTTCAACACTTGACATGATCTGTATTTTAATTTTAGACATACTAATGGATATGAGGTGGTATCTCAAAGTTTCAATTTGCATTTCTCTAATGATCAATGATATAAGCATCTTTTCATGTGCTACTTTGCCATCTGTATATCTTCTCTGGTGAAATGTTCAAGTCTTTGGCCCATTTTTTATTAGGTTATTTTATTACTGAATTTTGTTACTGGCCATTTTTTAAAAGTCAAGTGTCTTCTCCCCAGTGACTATGCAGTCTTACTTAAAATGCCGGCCAGCATGGCTCAGCGGTTGAGCATCGACCTATGATCCAGGAGATCGTGGTTCAATTCCTGGTCAGGGCACATTCCTGGGTTGCAGGCTCGATCCCCAGACGAGGGTGTGCAGGAGGCAGCCAGTCAATGACTCATCATTGATGTTTCTAACTTTCTCCCTCTCCCTTCCTCTCTCTGAAATCAATAGAGAGTTAAAAAAAAGAAAAAGAAAAAAAAGAGGAAATTAATCCCACAGACTAAAAAAAAAGGGAAAGCATTTTGTCACAAAGATACAAAATTTATGAAACAGATTTCTTCCATCAATTCACCACAAATTCAAAACAATCCTAATTGTGCAAAGAAAAATCACCAGAACATGAAAGAAAAAACCACTGACCACAACCAGAAACTCCACTTTAACCTCAGAATGGAATGTTACTGAGCAACATAAGACACTCCCATCTTTATTTACGTTCAGCTGACAGTGATTCTGTGCGGTCCAACACAGCAGCCACTAAACCACATGTGACTCCTGAGCATTTGAAATGTGGCTAGTCCAAACTGAAATGTGTTGTAAAGTACATGCTGGATTTCAATGACTTAGGATGAAAAAAATGAATGTAAAGGTCTCATTAATAATGTATAATGTATATATTGACTACACGTTGAAGTGATATTCTGGATAATTTGGGTTAAATAAAATATATTCTTAAAATTATTTTCACCTGTTTCTTTTTACCTTTTTTAAAAGTGGCTATCATTGGCTTATATTTCTACTGGTTAGTTTTGATGAAATACTTTTTTTTTTTTTTTTAATGTATCTTTATTGATTTCAGAGAGAGGAAGGGAGAGGGAGAGAGTTGAAACATCAATGATGAGTGAGTCATTGATCAGCTGCCTCCTGCACACCCCCAACTGGGAATCAAGCCCGCAACCCAGGCATATGCCCTGACGGGGACATTGAACCACGATCTCCTAGATCCTAGGTTGATGCTCAACCACTGAGCCATGCCCAGCCGGGCAGATCAAATACTTTTAAAGCAGAACCTGAAAGTAATATATCTCCAAGTGGTAAAAAAAAAAAATATATACACACATACACATACACACACACACACACATAATACTTTTTCCCTTCCCTACTCCTCCAAGGTGTGAATAAAATGCTACAATGGAAGGTGTTAACACCTAAAACTCAGGAGCTATCTTAGGTTTGAGCCACAGCTTGGTTACTACCTGATCTATTAGTCACTTAGCTTCCCTGGATTTAAGTTTCCCCACCAGTTTCTGTTTTTTAATTCAAAAAGTCAACAAAAATGTATTATGCTCCTACTTTTTACAAAGCACTATTCTAGTATTGCAGATCTTGAGCTTATACTTTA